AGGCTCGTGGCAACATTTTCGTATGTGAAGTTTTCCATCATTAGCAGCATTTCCCATTGGTATTAATACGGTTCTAGTGCATTTCATTTCATTATCTGGGACAACAATCAGTGCTTGCTCGACATTTCCGAATCCTGACTACAACGTGTTCATGCAAATCTGTACCAAGTCAAGCTTGAAGATGCAAGAGTTGGCAGAATTTATGGCAGTACTATTTCTGGATCCGGACCCCCCAGAACATGAAAATAAATTTTCCTTATCTGACTTCTATGATTCCTGAAAAGTTCCCCATTTCGACCGTGCCCTACTGCCTCTCGATCGGCTTTGTGGTTCCGGTGACTGGGCAACAATATGAAATCAGTTCAAACAATGCCTATTCTCCCCAACTATCGCCAAGTGAGCAACCTCACAGCCTCAAATCTCCCAGCCAGTAGCTTAATGAGAGATGAGAATGAATGAGCTATTAGCAGAGCCACTTTTCTGGCTAATGTGCTATTTTTAAAGTGCATTTCTGATTGCCTCAATGTACACTTTGCTTGTTTTATGGACAGAAAATACGTGGTTGCTTAGTTTCCACTTCGCTCCTCTGCCTACTTGAATCCGGCCGTAGATATACAGTTAGCCCTTTTTACGGACATAAATCGGGCTAAACCACTTGTCTTTAAATATGCACTGTGGTGAAAAAAATGCTTGCAAATGCTAGAAATATACGATATAATGGAGATAAATAGTATCCGCCCATTTACTCGATTACAAGACGGATTGACGGCGAGGCGGGATTTCGGGAAATGGACATTTATACTGTCTCTAATCCCCCTCGGCACGGGGACAAATACCTGTTTTTTTGTCCGTCTTGGGAACCGTGAACCCGGTTTCGCTTCGCTCCCTATGCACCAGACCACTGGCCTTGCGAAGTTAAGTCGGCTCACTCTGGATCCTCTCGACCGTCAAGCAGCTCCTGTCTCCTCCAATTGTCCGTTAGCCAGACAGCCTCTAGGACAGTCTCACAGCGTCAATCAAAGCACGAAAAATGGTCATCCCTCGTTCTACAGACATTTTGGCATTGGTAAGAGTGAAGCAAAGGCTGCACAAGACGGGGCAAATTGGTAGGATGAGAGGAATAAAAAGGCCACAATGAAGAGAGAGCAGGTAAATTTGTCAGAATGTAGCTTGACGATTTGGCTGTTTGCCTGTCCTTGCCTCGCCGGTAAGTCAGGAATAGGGGGGCTTTACCAAAAATCACGAAAATATCCACACGTATAGGTCGTTTTAGGAAGCGCATATGCTCACTTATTTATTTATTTATAATTTTAAATGAATAAATAAATAAATAAATAAATATATATATATATATATAGTTTTTCAAGGTTATATATTTATAAGGTCAACATTTTTACTAGGCACTTGTGGCATTGTTTAGCCTTGCACCAAATATAGGCATGAGGGTTAGAGACTTTAGGCTCCAATCCAATTGATAGAGATGAACTTTCCTATCCCTTTTTCTTCCAGAGTAAGCCAGTAAAACTTACAGTTTATCCAGTTTGATATGAAGAGTAGTTGGGTTTAATTAATGCTGTTAAGGGGACTTTTATTTCTTTGGAAAGTGCATGAAGATGAGAGTGAAAGGTCGATCTCATCATAAATCGACGTCTGATTCCTGTTGTACTGCAGTTGGTTGGCTTTAATTTAACGTTCAGGTTGAAGCAGTCCACATGGCATCCGACCTCATTTCAGGTGAAAACTAATTGAGCTTTCGTCCATCATTTGACGGACATCATCAGAACTGGAATCCATTCTTACAAAAGACTTAAATTAACAAACACTTAGTCAAAAAGACTGTCCGGCTCAGTCTTATCTCTTGTTTATGACAAGAAGTCGAAGCGTACTGACAATTAAAAAGTGAGAATGAATTTGCATAGAAAGATGTACAATGGTTTGGCTAATTACTAATCATGCTAATCATGCTAATACTGCTACTTTTACTCATCGTGTATATATATATATATATGTGTGTGTGTGTGTGTGTGTGTGTGTGTGTGTAAGTGTGTGAGTGAGTAGTTTTTACTCAACTTTCTACCGCTCTTCCTCACATTCTACGTACACCTAAATCTATCAAGTTAATAAGCTTCCATTATCTTACTTTTAACAGCAGATGTACCATAATCAGCAAACCTAGTTGATTGAGGCCATTTCATCTCATGTCCAGCCCATGACTTGCACGTTCGGCCACATCTGCAATCACTTTGAGTTCTACCAATCTTTGTCACAATCTTGTATCAGTCGGATCTCGAATATGGGTCAGATTTCTC